TTAAATTATTATTAATTTTAATGAAAATTTACAGAGACTTTGGATTTCCATTCATTCATTGTTGCACTTTTCTCCCTGCCCACCCCCCCAAGAATTCTTCTTTTCAATGTTCATTTTCCTTTAATAAAAGGATCGATGAGAGTTTCCAAAGCAGATTGGTTTTCCATTTAATCATTAGTATGCATTTCGTTTGATGACATCATCCCCATGCTGTGACCGCACACTTTCCATTTCCTCCCTGTGATTCTCATTTCCACCAATCCTTTTGCTCTACTCCCTCCTGTATTCTGTCCTTTTGAGCTTGTATGGTTGATGGTTCTAAGGCACGAGGACCTCTTTGGTCTTACTTTGGTTCATCTTACAGGCCTGTCTGTTACTTGCCTGAACATTGAACCAGGAGGGTGAGTTTTGTTTCAGGATTGAAGGGTGATTGAGGGCCTTGGTCTCTGACCTTGCAAATCTCCTTTAGACCAGCCATCTCTTTCTTTTGGGCCAATTTGCTGCATCTTAAGGTTTGGCGTATAGTTAACTTTACGTGGTTCCTTGATAATAATTAACAACAGGGGACCTGATCATCACTAAATATATGGAATTTGATGGGCACCTGTTCTTTCTAAATGGGAGGTGCACAGGAGAAAGGAGCTAAGAAAAGTCCTTGTTATGTCGAGATATCAGGGGCCCTGGTGGTGCTGTAGACTCTGCAGGGGGCTGCTAACCACACGATTGGGAGCTGGAGCCCACCAGCCCCTTTGCAGGGGGAACCAAGTCCACTCCTGTGAAGATTCACAGTCTTGGATGCCCTGTCAGGCAGCCCTGCTCTCTTCTCCAGCATCACTCTGAGCGGGAACAGACTGAGCAGCCGTGGGTTAGGGTGAGGGCTTTGGTGTTAAAATGGGCCTGTCCGTCATCTGGTAAGCATTTTGATAAGCAGAAGGTGTAGACTCACCTGCAGAGTGCTTTGCTGTGGGGGTGAAAGCTGACAGGGAGCCCGAGAACAGGGAGCCTGAGAAGCGTCGTTACGAGAACACCTCCTCACGCGTTTCTTTCTCCTCCTCCCATGGGCCATTTCAGAAGGAATGGCGCCGTCACCCACATCAAGATCCAGAACACCGGTGACTACTATGACCTGTACGGAGGGGAGAAGTTTGCCACGTTGGCTGAGCTGGTCCAGTATTACATGGAACACCACGGGCAGTTGAAAGAGAAGAATGGAGACGTGATTGAGCTCAAGTACCCTCTGAACTGCGCAGATCCTACCTCTGAAAGGTCAGTGACTCGTCACCACCAAGTCCCTGGCTTTTGGGTGTCTTACACACACACACACACACACACACACACACACACACACACACACACTCTCTCTCTCTCTCTCTCTCTCTCTCTCTCTCTCTCTCACTCTTTCTTTCTCCCTCCCTCCCTCCCTCCCTGCAGGGCTTTGCTTTAAGTCCCTCTCTCTCGCAAGCTGAGCTCTTTAAAGCTCCAGTAAACGGAGAACAGAGTCTTCTCAGAACCTTTCTCTTATAGAAGCTTTAGTCTCTGCTGCTTACACCCAGTCTGTGAGGGCCGCGGCTCTTGTGTCTAAACTCGGTCCTGGCATCATTTTGAGATTTAGTGGCCGTCAGCTGACGGCCTTGGAGAGCCGGAGGCGCTGGTGAGAATGGAGAGGCCGCATCACACTGTCCTCCTGTGGTGCTTCTCGGCTGGTTGTTCAGTGGCTCCACCAACAGATGTCAGTTTAAGCTCAGGAGAGGAAGTGCAGGGAGCAGCTCGGCGAGCTGATGGATCTGCCTGTTCTCTTGTGCTCTCTCCACGCATGTGTGAGACTGACCTTGACCTTGCTGAGAGTGGACCGAATTATGCCAGAGGTCTGCCCCCAGCCCCCCTGTTGTAAAAAGCAGGGACGTAGTATATCCGTATTGATTCCATTGATTTTTTTTTACTACCCCCTGCTTTCCCAGTCTCTTCTTTGACTCAGTATAAATTCAAGGCCTGTTCATTAGGTGGTGGCTTTCTATCTTCAGGTACTCATTTTCTTGCCATATACATTTATTTCCAAGCTGCCACGTGCTGATAATTGATTTCTCTACCACCCACCCCTGCAACTTTCAGCAAAAACGACTGCCAGCAACCTCTGTGCAGTCCATTCTGCATTTCACTCTCTTCTGTGGAGCGTAGGTGAAAAGGTCTCAGAGTAGATGCCTTCAGTGCTGAGCCATTAAAATGGCCTACTGTGATAGGACCTAGCTTTCCTCCCAGAATCCCAGCGGCGGGGCTAGGGGTGGGAAAGCAATATTACCAAGATAGTGTCACCTAGAGCATGCCTTTGGGACCAGTGTGCTGACATAAACAACATGCATAGTGCATAGGGAACCGAGTGTGAGGGATTGCAAGGGGTAGCCTCTCTCCCCCAAAGATCCTCACCTAACGTGCACGTTACTCACATAAAAATACCGTAATTGAACTATGCTGTGTTTTCTGCAGTGGTCTCAGAGTCAGTCTTTGGGTGGCCCACATCACGTTGATCTGATGTGCTGGTTAAAAATGCAGATTTCTCCTACAACTAGGAGAGGATAAAATAGATGAATGGGGCTTTCTTTTTTATTTTATTTTTTAAAAAATTTTTATTGTATTGTTTTTACGTGTACCGTCAAATCAGATCTGACTGGTACAGGAAGAGATTGCCCCCTCCTTCTCCAGCAGAACATCTGGTGGATTTGAACCACATACCTCTGGGATTGCAGTGCAGCGTCTTGCCACTAGGCCACCAGAGCTCCCTGAATGGGGCTTTCTAAGAATCAAATCCCTATGCACATCCAAAAACTTCTCCAATAGGGTAAAAAGGGAAGCCGCAGACTGGGAAAAAAATATTTGGTAATGATATATCTCATAAGGGACTTATATCTAGAATTTATAAAATACTCGGGCAACACAGCAATATGAAGGTAAACAACCCAGTTGAAAAATGGACACAGGATATGAACAGACGCTTCACCAAAGAAGACATTCAGATGGCAAACAAACATATAAAGAAATGTTCAAAATCCCTAGCTCTAAGAGAGATGCAAATCAAAACAACTATGAGATACCATCTCACTCCAGTCAGAATAGTAAAATTTAATAGAACAGAAAGCAACAAATGCTGGTGAGGGTGTGGAGAAACAGGAACCCTTATTCACTGTTGGTGAGAGTGTAAAATGGTGCAACCACTGTGGAAAGCAGTATGGCGCTTTCTCAGAAAGTTGGAGATAGAGATACCATTTGACCCAGAAATTTCATTACTGGGAATATACCCTAAAAAACCATAACTGCCACCTGAGCAGACATATGCTCACCCTTGTTTATTGCAGCTTTGTTCACAATAGCAAAGAGTTACAAACAACCCATGTGCCCATCAAAAAAAGAATGGCTAGAGAAGCTCTGGTATATTCACACAGTGGAATACTATGCTGCATTGAAAAACAAGGAACTCATGAAATATTACACATAATGGGTGACTCTGGAGGACAGTATGCTGCATGAAATATCTCAGTCAGAAAAGGACAAATACTGCATAGTACCAGTATTGTAAAATGGGACTGACATTGGAGTTGGGAAGAAACTAAGAGGGGATAAATAATACACACTGCATTGAAACAGATGAGGGAGAGTACTGTTTAGGAGGAATGTATAATTAGGTATTATTGAATGAAACCTGCAAAGTGGAGTGGACTAGGGGTGGGTATTGTATAACAATGAAATAAAATTTTTTTTCTTGTCAAAGAGAAAAGTGAACTAGAGGGATGGGCAGGGAGGAAAGTAAACAACGAATGAACAGAAATAAAAAAAAAAATTAAAAAAATGTTCTGGATATGGAGTCCAAGAATCTCCATTTTCAGCAAACTCCCCCTCCCAGAAAGCCAAATCTTTCTTGAATTAGAGTTGAGATGATTAGCTAGTATCCAGTCCAGAGACATTGACGGTGAGTTTGCAGTTCTTGAAATATAGGTGGGAGACAGGGAAAACTTTGAATTTATAATACATTTCCTTTGTTGGCATAATCTCAGGCCAAAGCAAAGACGGAGGTTCAGAGTGGGCCTTTTCCTCTACCGTAACCCCTATTAGAGCTTCCCTAAGTGGAGAGGGTTTGAATAGTAGACCCTTTTGGGCTTGGGGAATCTGGAAACTGAAAATGCAAGCCCTTGAGGCTCGTTCCATATGGCAGTGGGCTCACCAGGAAGTCTGTATTGTCTCTCTTCACATCTGTCATTCTTCCTGCTCCAATGGGTGTTAGAGGAATCGCTCTGTCCCAGAGGGAAGGGTGTGTTGGGGTCTTAATTGGGTGTAAGGAATGCTGAATGCACATGGGAGTTTTGTGAACAATGCGGTAGGACACCTGCTCACGTCTGCATTTGAAATTCTAGGTGGTTCCACGGACACCTGTCTGGGAAAGAAGCAGAGAAGCTGTTGACAGAGAAAGGCAAGCATGGCAGCTTCCTTGTGCGCGAGAGCCAGAGCCACCCCGGGGACTTTGTCCTGTCCGTCCGCACTGGCGACGACAAGGGGGAGAGCAGCGACGGCAAGTCCAAAGTCACCCACGTCATGATCCGCTGTCAGGTAAAGCCCCGTGGCCTGTGGGTCTGCCCGTGTCCTCTTCCCGCCGTGCCCCTCCTGCGAGCAGAGGCACAGCGTCACCGTCCACAGTTTCCTTTGCTCGTTTAGGTAAAGCCTTCTTTTTGTAGGAGCTCTGGTGGCATTGTGTGTTTCACGTTGGGCCACTAGCCCAGAGGTCGGTGGTTCAAATGCACTGGCTACTCCACACGAGAAAGACATTCTGCTCCCTTTGAGAACTGCAGCCTCGGAGACTGTGTAAGGGTCACTGTAAGAGGGCAGTGGCCTTTTGGCTTTCTGCACTTTCCGTATATTGTATTGTTTGTGGTGATTGTTTCATCTTTGACAGATGCCACAAAGTGATTTCTTTCTAGTCTCGTGCTGGTAGAGGAAGTCAAGTCCCAGGACATTGCCTCCAGCCCATAGAATCCGTCTGGCCTGTCTGTCGGCAGCTGGAGCCGGAGTCGGCCTCAGCGTCTGTTCCTGATGGCACCTCAGCCCCCTCGGGTCGGCACAGTCCAGCCTGCGGCTCTGTTCGCCTCTGGGCTGCGGAACTGTTGCACTGTTGAGGCTGGAGCTGGATGCGGTATTGCTTGTGTTTAGTGTGGAGACTGGACCAAGGAGGTTATTTCTTTGTCTGGAGACTTTCTTAAATAGAAACTGTCTGTCCACTCAGGGCTTCAGGTTTTATTTTCATGTAAACACTTTGTTTGATCATAGTTTTATTGAGCTTGAACGGCCCTCTTACTGTTGAGTACCTTAGTCGGAACTGACCTGGTGTACCTTAGTCGGAACTGACCTGTTACTGACCCCACGGTGGGTTTTCAGAGGTGGTGAATCACACCGGAAGAGATTGCCTGTGCTTTTCCCATGGAACAGCTGGTGGATTCGAACCACGTGCCTTCAGGTTGGCATCCCAGCCCTCACCACTAGGCCACCGGAGCTCCCTCTTGGAGTGTGTAAATTGGGTGGTTTCTAATGTATACACAGAGGTGTGCAACTAGCAACACAGTCCAATGCCAGGACTTCTTCATCATTCCCCAAAGAAGCCCTATTCACATTAGCGTCCACTCCGCATTTTCCCTCCCCCAAGCCCTGGCAGCTACTACTCTATCCCTAGGATCTGTTCATTTTGAACAGTTTATAAACTGGGTGTGAGCGGATTAGATTTGGCCTCCTGTTTTAAAAAGGCTTTTGAGCCCTCGGGCCTGGTTTTAATTGTTTTCGGTCAAATGTTCTTCTAAGTGGTACACTAGTGGTCTGGCAATTTGCTGTAGAAAGGCATCTCGTGGTTGCTGTGATGCTAAAAACTGTGATACGGTGACACTAATGTGTCAAATATGATAATGGTTACCCACGGTGGACAGTGTTTGCTGGACCTCCTGAATTAAAACAGGCTTGGAAGCAGGAGTGGCATCCACTTCCGAAATAGCTCGCCTCTGGAAACTCTATGAGCTTAGAGAAAAGATGAAAGTTTTCCATATTCAAGACTTTTTGTTTATAGAGTTGCTATGAGTCGTCTATGACTCGATAGCACTTAACAACAACAACATCATATACAAGCACCTCTCAGGGATATTGTGAGCTCAGTTCCAGACCTCCACGGTCCCAGGAAAGCAAGCCATGTGCATATTTAGGTTCCCCAGGTAGGTTGCCACCACATTGCAGTCCATTAAGTGCACAGTAACATTATGGAACACTTTTTTTTTTTTTTTTGGGTTTTGTTTTGTAAGGCAACTGCCTTTATTTATTTTTTTTTCTATAATTATATTTTATTAATTTTCATAAACATTTACAGAGATTTTGGGCTTCCACTCATTCATTGTTGCACTATTCTCTCTACCCTCCTCCCAGTTTGTTCTTGTATGGAACACTTTTGATTACTGTGATGACGACCACAGTGAGAGATGGGGCAGAGTGGGCACGTGGTATTGGAGAAGTGGGCAGCGATGAACTTGTTCACGAAGGAGTAGCCAGACCTTCAGTCTGTAAAAGGGGCATTATCTGGATGTACAGTAAAGCAAAACCAATAAAAGGAGGAATGCCTGTACATGAAAGCCTTCAGTCGGTGGCTTTGTGCATTTGGTTTCTTTCACTTTGCATAGTTTCAGGGTTCTCTGCCTTGTAGCACTTGCCACTACTTCCTTACTGTTGCTAGTCTTCGTGACCGTTGCAAGTTCTTTCTTAATTTCCAGAGTTTGGAAAAAAGCTGATGGTTGACAATTTTTGCCACTGTTCTGCTTGCTCTTTCGGAGGGGCAGATTTTCAGGGGGCCCCCCCTTTGTCATTCTGAAAGTGCTTTCCTTTCGAGTTTCACTGTTATTTCTTTATTCTTGTGTGCTGAGTGAAAGTGTAGAGAACAACTGATTTCCCATTCAGTCATTCAGACAGATTTTATGGTATGGAATGAATGACACTGCTTACATTGTAACAGCATTTTCCCCTGGCCCTGTTTGTGATTTCCTTAACCATCCACCTTCTAGCCTATCCTCTGGGGGCGATGAGAAAAGCCCTTTTGAGCTTGCATGCTTAATTGCACTAAGAAGTGGGTAGAATTGCATCTTTAAGTAAAAGGTGGCACAAATACATCTTCATAGGACTTAATACTTTTATTTTTTAAATTTTACTATTTTTTTGTGTGTGTATGTACTGTCAAATCGGATCTGATTAGTACAGGAGGAGATTGCCCCTCCTTCCCCAGCAGAGCATCTGGTGGATTCGAATCACGTACCTCTGGGATTGCAGTGCAACTTCTTGCCACTAGGCCACCAGAGCTCCCTTAAACTTTTTTTTAAACATACGTTTTTCCATTGTTGAACATTTCTTTCCCCACATCCCCTCTCCTCCCCCCACCATCCCTGCGATGCACCCCTTGTTCCAGTTTGTTGTCACACATACAGCAGCTAATCATATAGTCCTTTCATATGGTTCTTGCCCCATCAGATCCACCGCACTGTTCACTGTCTGTCCACTCTTTTCCCATTCTCTCCCTAACCCCCCCCATGTCTGTCCTGTTTAAGACTACACTTTCTTAGTTTAACTATTTTTCTATTGTTCTCAAGTAATGTATACTGGTTTTTGGTTTTCTTTTTTAAAGATTCCTGGCCCCTTTAGAGTTTCCCTTACTTATTTCCACTAGGAGATGAACTTAAGATGTATATATTGGCAGTCAGTGCTACCTTACTAGCCTTGAAGTCAGTTACGTTTCAGAGAGAAAGACTTCTTTTCCTTGTATTCAGCAGCCTGGTGGCTGGTGTTTGGTCTGAATATAATAAAGAGGCGCCTTGGTGGTGCTGTGGTTAAGGCCTTCTGCTGTAAACCAAAAAGTCGGTAGTTCAAACCCACCAGCCACTCTACCAGAGACGCGTGAGGCCGTCTGTTCTGTAAAGTTTACAGCCTTGGAAACTTCGCCGCGGCAGCCGGAGTTGTCCCACTGCGGGTTGCAATTGACTTGAGAGCAGTGGCATTTTTATAGTATAGACTACTGCTCCCAATTTATTTATTTATTTATTTTTAAATTATTTTTTTTGTGTGCGTGTACCGTCAAATCAGATCTGACTGGTACAGGAGGAGACTGCCCCTCCTTCCCCAGCAGAGCATCTGGTGGGTTCGAACCATGCGCCTCTGGGATTGTAGTTGCAGTTCCTTGCCACTAGGCCACCAGAGCTCTCCTATTTTTTTTAAAGAAACACCTTTCATTGTCTTTTAGGAGAAAGTGAGAGGACAGAGTGGTTTTCCACTCAGCTTGTGCATGTTGTGATTTGTGACACTGATGGCAGTCCCCACATGGCGGCAGCACTCTTCCCTTGCCCTCCCTGTGTTTACAGTGTCCACCTGTCTTTTTCCCCCCTCTCCTTTCCTGCTTTCTGTCTTTGGATCCTGGATGGTTGCTTGTTTTAGGGAGCACCTGCCTGGTTGATGTTACTCTACCCTTTATAGGTCTGTGTAGCAGAAAGTTGAGCCACGGGAGGCTTTTTCACGTAACTGTTTGGTGACCTCATGGTCACGAGGGGGAAGCTGTTTTGTGAGCCAGGAGGTGTTGCACTCACTCAGAGCCCACACATCTCCTGGGCTCACGTTAGTTCACACTGAACCACTCCCTCTGTTTTCATCGTCCTTTCCGTCGTGCATCTGAGTGATCATCGCCTTTCTGGGTCAGTCTCTGAGCTGTGCTTGGAAGGACACCTATTTGGCATACTCGCCCCAACATAGCACTGTTTTGTCTGGACAGGAGCTGAAATACGACGTTGGTGGGGGAGAGCGGTTTGATTCCCTGACCGATCTCGTGGAGCATTACAAGAAGAACCCGATGGTCGAGACGTTGGGCACCGTCCTGCAGCTCAAGCAGGTGAGTGGAGGGAAGTTGACGCCTGGCTCCATGTGTGGTTAGGGGCTGTCGGGCCAGCCCCACTCACAGCTCCTTCATGTCTAGCCGAACAGAGGCTGCACCATCCTCACGGTCCCTGCTCTGCTGAAGCCCCTCGTCACAACCACTGTGTCTTCTGGCGGAGAATTGTAAATCCCGATATGTGATATTCCACACCTGCAGAAGCAGGGCGACTAGTATCAGGAATCTCCACGCAGCTACCAGCCAGCTTAATCATCACGTTTTGTTTCATTCATGTCGCTGCCCACCACCTCTCATCTGTGTGTTACCTGGAAACAAGCTCCCAATGTTGTATCGACTGCATAGACACCTGTCAGAGGCAGTATAGAATTCTTAAAGCACGTTCACACCACGTTCTCCCTGCAGATCTGTCTTTAATTACTTGAGGAGATCACATTTACTTACTCTGTGATTATTCTTTTGTTCTGATTTTAGTGTAAAATGATACCATCTCTGGAAAGAATTTTATGATATTTCATTATTTTTTTTGTTTACCACTGAGTTGGAACCAACTCATAACTGACTTTTCAGTGGATTTTGAGGCAGTGGATTTTTTTTTTTTTTAATTTTTATTTTGTGTGCGTGTACCGTCAAATCAAATCTGACTGGTACAGGAGGATATTGCGCCTCCTTCTCCGGCAGAGCATCTGGTGGATTCGAACCGTGTTCCTCTGGGATTGGAGGCAGTGGATTTTGAGGCAATAAACTGCCTGGGAGGAGATTGCCCATTGTTCTATCACAGAGCAACTGGTGGATTCGAACTACATGCCTTTGGGTTGATAGCACAGCTCCTTACCACTGAGCCACCAGATCACCCTTACGGTATATTAGGAAAGAGAAATGTTTGCATTTATATCAACAGAATAAAGTAGCGGTGAAAATTACAGAAAGATACGTTTTCTGACCAGATACACACAAAAAGAGTGAAACTGCATTTGAAAAGTTTATATGTGGGTGGCTGTGTCCCGTGCTTTCCCACGTCCTTGCCTTGACAGTTCTTAACATAGAAAGATGCCTTTTGCTGTCTTCATGGCATTAACGCTGTTCTCGATGATTTCTTCTGTATTTGCCTCCGACCGCTGGACGTGCTTAGCCCCTCAACACCACACGGATCAATGCTGCTGAGATTGAGAGCCGGGTCAGAGAACTGAGCAAATTAGCCGAGACCACAGATAAAGTCAAGCAAGGCTTTTGGGAAGAATTCGAGGTAAGTCGGTAAAAAGAAAAATCCTCAAAAGCTTCATGAGGTTGAGTTTTGTAATGCCAAAGAGAAGTTGGAGAAGCTGGGTGGAAAGACTCGATGGCGACGCGCCTTCTTAGCCGGGCCAGCAGCTGGGGGGCGTCCTTCACCTGCACAGGCCTTGGGTTCTGGTAGAAGGGCGGGGGCTGTTAGTATTCAGTGGGTCAGCCAAGGGGTCCCGCTGGTGCTCTTGGTTTGGAATATGAGCAAAAGCCGCAGAGGAGCACAAGGATCTGGGTCCTTTGGAAGACTTCCAGCACTTGTTGGAGTCTTTAGAATCCATAGGCGTATTGCACTGAATGTATCAAAGAGCAGTGCCTCATGGCGGCTTTGCTGTAGAGGGAGGCTCAGATGTGTGACTTTGGGTTGATGTGTGGATGCAGTCGTTCTTGATCCAGCTTGGGTGGGATGATGCCATGATAACGGTGCATCCCAACTGATCTTGTCATCTCTGTCTCCCACTTGCTTAGAAAACATTCTCCAAAACAAAGCTTATGGTGTGTTTACCTTCATGGTCAGTTCAGTTATGTAGCTAAGTGCCTGGTCTTACTAGAAGCTCCATAAATGTTTGCTGGATGAATTTACACCTCTCCAGTGTTAAGGCACATTGTTTTTTTAAAAGGACTACTCTAGTTTTAGGAACGATGGTGCTGTGCTTTCCAGGTTGTTGTCAGGGGCCATGGCACCACCACCTTCAACTCATAATGCTTCTCTGAACAACAGCCCTTCCCTTATCCTGTGCCATATGCATTTCTAAAAGATAATAAGTCTTTTTAAAAATTAACCATATTAAAAAAAAAATTAACCATATTACTACTGCTGCATCTAAACTTAAAAACAACCAACCAACCAAAAAACCCCACTACTACCAAATTTTCTGACTTCAGGCATCAAGTTTCTGAGGATATAATTGTGTGGAATTGTCACACCTGTCTCTCATGGAGCGGCTGGTGGGCTCGAACTACTGACCTTGTGGTTGGCAGCCCAACACTTGACCCCTATGCCACCCGCCTCCTTATTGCAGCCACAAAACAAAAATTAAGCAAACGTGTATTTCATTATTCAGGTCAAAGCAGTCATCTTGAAGTTTTGGAAAAAAATCTTATTTGACAAAAAAAAATTGTGATTCAGACTAGTAAAATGTGTATAAATGTCCAAAGAGGGGTGATGAGGTGGGAGGAGGGGGAGTAAATAAAGAGATAAAATTGTAGACATTAATAGCAAACCCAAAAATATTGTGATTCAGTTAATCTCCAAGTTGTAATTGAGATACTCTCCATTTATGGTGGCTGGTTGATGCACTTAAGTATCTCTGTCTTTCAGAATCTTAAATCTCTTTTAATCTTGTGGTAACTCTCTCACTAGCTCTCTCTTCCTCTCTCTCCCTCTTTCTTCCTCCCTCCCTCTCTCTGGTTTTTGTTTGATTTTGCTGCTGAAAAACAAGTCTTTTGTCATGAGACCAACTAATGGTGGATCTTACCGATTCCATCTCTGTGGTGGAATTGAACAGGCCTGTTGTCCTTTGCGTTTCTTGTAAATGGCTGCATCTAGAAGCTTTATCACATGCAAATTTTTCCCCCTGTAAAACTGCGTATGTGGCAGTGTCGGGAGGTACCTGTGTTGTAGTTCTCCTTTCTTTTTGTTTGCAGCCAGACTATTGCCTAGACCCACTCATTCCTAAGAAGTTGCAAAATGGAAATGTTCTCATTTTATCATTCTTGGCTGATAGAATATGTCTATAATGAGAAGCTGCCTATCACCAAAGCAAGATAAATGATTAGTTTCTTTTTTATAAAATTAAACTATTTTCAAAATAGTGTTCTGTAGGCATATTTGGCTTTTATTTTAAACTCTTGGCCTTTTAACATATTTGATGTTGTTGTTGTTATGTGCCGTTGAGTCACCTGCGACTGATAGTGGCCCTGTGTACAATAGCCTTAAACCCTGCTTTATCCTGTGCCAGTCTTACTGTCTCTAACACACCTTCCCTCATTACCCCAGTCACTGAGTCAGTCCATCCCATAGAGGGCCTTCCTCTCCTGCGCTGTCCCTCCACCCTCCCAAGCATGACGTCTTTCTCCAAGGACTGGTCCCTCCTTGCAACATGCCTGAAGTATGTAAGACGAAGCTTCAGAATCTTCGCCTCTTAGGAGCAGCCTGGTTTAACCCTCTCCAGGATGAATCTGTTTGTTTTCTTGGCAGTCCATGTTATATTCAGTACTCTTCTCCAATACCACAGCTCAAAGGCATCAATTCTTCTATCCTCCCTAGTCATTGTCCAACTTTCTGATGCATTGCAAGTGATTGCAAAGATTGCCTGTATCAGGTGTACCTTAGTCTCCAGAGTGACATTGCTCTTCAGTACTTTGGAGAGGTCCCTAACAGCTGACTTTCTCATCAAAATACATCTTTTAATTTCCCAGCTGTGATTCAGTATTGACATTTTTATGGTCTAGGTTTTATTGTAAAAACATTATTATTTTTCATCTTTAAATTTTATCGTATATCATACATGACTTTTGTTACCATCTATAAAGTCTGCAACATACTTTTTATTTATAATTTCAAGATTTCCAACCTCTTTGGGTCAAATAAAGAAATAGTGAATGATTTTTATAATCGTGACCCATTTTAATGTTATACTGCCACCTTTTCTAATGGCAGCAAAGGCGGTCATTTGCATACGTGACTTTTCTTTTAAAGTGACTCTGGAAGCCTTTTTGGGAAGTACAGCCGTCAGGCAGGAATCTAATATCGCACTGAATCATTTCACAGGAGTTTCATGTGAGCTCACTTGGGACTGTGCTTAGGGGATGAAATCAGACCTTTCCAACGAGTTTGTGGCAGTTGGGGGTGTTTTTCATGATCTCATCAATGGGGTCACGATAGGAACTCTGGAAGAAGGAAGCCTGACTTTCTGGCCATGGGGTGAGGGCTGTTGCTAACTGCTGGCCTGTCAGTTTTGCTCTGCAGCAGCTCATGTTCAAGTCGTCTCTTACAGGGACTCGCAACCGCAAAGGGAAACACTGAGTTGTCTTTAGGGGAAAACGGAAAACTCCAAGATCACACTTGTTATGCTACAAGTTCTTCTTAGAGGTCGGGTTGGGCTGGTGACATGGGCGTGCATGAAGTCAGGGGCCTGACATTGCAACTACTGTCACTCGGATACTTCAAACTCAGTTTCCAGAAAGTGCCCTTTAAGGCCGGGGCCAGGGGAGTAAGGCTGGCAGTGGAATAAGCTGTTACGGAAAGAATTCGATACTAGAGGCAGATACTCGTCATCATCAGAATCCTCTGAAATGGAAACTTGAGCCACAGTTGTAAGTGCACCGCCGTCATTTCTCGGAAAGTGATGAATCCGGGCTCAGCTCTTACAGCGTCTGACGGCCTGGAAGGTGGACCGGGGTTTCAAGCTGCATTGCTATCAGTAACTTGACTCTCACATCCATTGTTCCCTTCTCTGTACCTGAGACCTGGTCTCAGGTGTGACTCCATGTGGCCTTTTGTGAGAAGACTTTCATAAGAATTTAGAAGACTTTGTGAATTACTTTCGCTTTCAATACCTCTTAAAATGTAGAGTCCTCACGATACCCGTTGGTTCCTTTCTCCATTGCCCCTGAGATGGAAGCAGGCTGTTCCCTTCCTAGGATATATTGTGTGATCAAGAGATTGCCAGCCCACGTCACTGGTTTTTCCTGGACACGGCCTGTGTCTGATCTCTGGAGGCATCTGATGTTCCTGTGGCTCTCGGCTTTTGATCGTACAGAGATGGGGCCTATTTCCCAATCTCTGTGGAAGGAAACAAAGTTCTGCTCAAGTGAGACCGACCCTGAATAAATGAAAGGCAGGCAGCGTCAGCAGTTCCATGTCTGCGACATGCACGATGCTTGAAACCTCAGCTGACTTTTGGACATGAAGGTCAAGTGCACGTGCTGTGGCTGTCTTGATAGGCTGTTTGCTGTGTTGGTGCCTGTTGCTCCCTTTTGAGTTCTGCGGACCTTGGTCATGGGGGGTTATGGGCCAAATCTGGCCAGTTCATCTGACTATGGGCTCCCACAGGACCCGGTCAGGGATGGAGAGTGCACTGTTGGTGCTGTGGTCCTCCTCCTTCTCCCTGCCCTTCCCCACCTTGTCACCTCTCTGTAGCCAGTCTCTGTCCTCTGCTTACCTGCTTCAATCGTCTTATTTTCTCACACTGGTTTCTCTGCTCCTTTTTCTGTAAACTGTACTTCTCCCCCCGGCTCCCCATAGAATCAAAGCTAGCATTTTCAGTCTTTGTACTGGAGTCTCAGATTTTCTCCCACCCATCCTTGGTCCCAAAGGCATAGCCAGAGGCCACCTCCAATAAACATGTCTCCAAGGGGACACCCTGGTCCTCAGAGTTGTGGAGCCGGGAGTTGGGCAGATGACCTGGTAACGTTCCTCACAGTCAGTAGCTTTTGGGAGTGGCAGCGATCCACTCTTTCACCGTCCTGCAGATCCGAGTCCAGCACAGGCTGTGTGTCCGGCTCTGAATGCGGCAAGAGAGTCTCTGTCTTTATGGGATTTAGAGTCAACTGTGGCGACAGTTTAAACAAAGAAACAGGTAAATAAATATGAAATGTGGTGCTAAGGTGGAAAAGGAAGTGGAGTCCCTTAAAAAAAGTGCACTGATGGCAGTCATTGTTGTCCAGCGAGGCCTCGCTGGGTGGTAATATAATGGGCGTGAAGTTTATTTAGTTGTTGAGAATATTCACAGCAAAACGTGGATCTATTCAGCAGTTTCCACAGGTATCATCCATTACATGCATTACATTCTGTGAGTCGTGTGGCCATGATCCCTGCCTTTTCTGAGTTTTTCCTCCCATGTTAACACAAATTCACTGCCCCCCACAGGTTCCTGTCCAATCTTTCAAGTTAATCACGCTCCACATGGTTATTACAGGAACATAATGTTTATGGCTGATCCTTTTTTCCCCCTAAGGCCA